CAAAACCATGATAAGATGCCATTTCATACCAGCTAGGCTGACTAAAATAAAAAGGATGGGCAATAATAAGTGCTTCAAGAGTGAGAAACTGCAGTCCTCAGACAATGCTAGTGAGATAGTAAACTGCGCGGCCACTTCGGTAGTTCCTCAAGATGTCCAACTTAGACTTACCATATGACCCAGAAATTCCACTCCTATGCATATCCATGAACTGATAAATGGATAAATAAAATGTGTCATATGCCTACAACGTAGTATTATTCATCCATAAAAGGAATGAAGTACTCCTACATGTTACAACATGGATACACCTTGTAAACATTATACCAAGTGAAAGAAGCCAGTTACAAAACACCATATGTTGTGTGATGCCACTAATACAGAATGTCCAGAACAGGCAAATTCATGGAAACAGAAAGTAGATTAGAGGTTGCCAACAGCTGTGGGGAGAGGATAGGGGAATGAAGAAGGACTACTAATGAGTATGGGGTTTCTTTTTGGGGTGAGGAAAATGTTCTAAAATTGGATAATGCTAGTGGCTGCCCAACAGTATAAATATGCTACAAACCACTGAATTATATACTTTAAAGGGGCAAATTTTACAGTGTGTGGATTTTACCCCAATGAAGTTTTCATTTAAAAAAAAAACCTGTCCAGACTGCCAAACTGAACCCTTAGATAGCTGCATAACGTGGACCCAAAAAAGTTTGGGAGTAGAGCAGGAATACCATAATCCTACTAGATTTTAAAAGGGAACAAGTAGCTCTCACAAGAATGATACAATAAGGAAATCCATAAGGTTGAAGCTGTTTGAGTGAGCAAATCCATCCTTTAGAGAACTTGAAAGGTTAAATTAGGTAAGAAATGTTGTATCTCTTATTCCCAAAGGGTTTACATATTTCTCAAGTTGCAGAAAGAAATATCAATTTTTAGAGAAACCTAGACGGACTTGTCTCAGCTGGCCAACTAAAAAATACAACCCCCTTCCAAGTTAAGACAGAGCCCTTATCACACTTTGCCCACCTGTCCATCTCACAATGGGGGCTATGGGGAGTCCTCCAAAACTATTTCTCAATATTGGAAGGGCACTGAGGAGGAATCTGAAGGACGTATCAGAGCCTTAAGGAATGTTCTGGAATGCTTCTGTCATTTTAGCTGCATTCTACAAAGTGGCAGGAGGCTGGTCATAAAAATACCCTGGACAGAGTATGGTAAATTTGAGGCAGGTAAACTCAGCCAGGAAGGATATTTCTGGTACTCTCAGGTACTATCTGGTCACTGTGGCTACTGAATGAAAAGCAAAATTTCTATACTATCTGTACTTAAGGCAAAATTTAAAAGATAGAAGTGTGTATTCAATGAGAAGTAAGTTTCTCTCTCACTCCTGTCCCCAGTCATCCTCATCTCTTCTATTACCAATTTCCTAAGTAACCTTCCAAAAACTGCCTATACACTTAAGAACATACGTATTCTGCACCGTGCCTCTTTCACTTAATTTATGTCAGACAGTACACATACCTAAATCTTTTTAACTGCTTCCTAAGTTTTCATAATATGGATGTACCATAATTTCTTAACCCTGGAATGAGCTATTATTATCAGTAATGTCTAAAGCAGAAATAAAACATTAGCGATCCATGGGTAGATGCTACCCATAGATGTTTTGTTCAGCCATCACAATGGCTTTAACATGTGGATCTGAATATATTTGGCCACATGCAATGTGGGAGAAAGAGCTGCCCACCAACATCCACTCTCCTCTTTCACAGTAAGAGGGGTGTCAATGGGAAATGGCTATCCCGCCAGGAACTACCTTTCCCAGCTGCCCAGCAGCTAGCTATATCCAAGGGACTAGGTTTCCCCAGTTAGAGCTGAGTGGAAGTGATGAAGGTTTCTGGTCTGCAGCTTTAAAGGGATGGCTATTTTTCCTCCACACAACCTCTGCCCCTTCTGCCCACAACTTCTGCCCCCTCTGCCCCATCTGTAGGTAGATGCTCAATGACTGGCACAGGGCTATCTGCGGCAGAGGCAGCACTGAAGGGGTTGACCATCACCGTGGCAACCACCAGCTGCAAGCTTTAGGCATGGCTTTGGAAGGGGCAGTCACTGTTGAGAGCAGGAGGGGAGTTCCCACCCACAGGCTGGAACAAACGAAATTCGTTATGAAAAAATTTGCTTTATGAAAACAACTGCTTCAATGAGGAAAAGGAAGTTAGGATCTAAAAAGTACTGCCTTCACAGTGTGATTTTTCTTACAGGAATTTTAGTAATATAATATGTTTTCTAAAACAAAGTACTAATAAAATAAAATATGTTTCGAGGCTCTAAGCATAGAGCAATAAAATCCAGACATCCCAGGTCTGATTGCATCTAGATTTTGTATACTTGCATCATCACTGAGACTTTCTTGCACATTTTTATCTTCTCTCAAATGCAGCAGCTGTTTGGGCCTTGAAAGGACGGCCCCCTGACATGCACCAGCTATTACCAAGGTGATCTCCCATGGGGCGCCTGGGTGGCTCAGTTGGTTAAGCGTCTGCCTGCAGCTCAGGTTATGATCCTGGGGTCCTGGGAGCGAGCCCCCATTGGGCTCTCTGCTTCCCCCTCTCCCACTCCCCCTGCTTGTGCTCTCTCTCAAATAAATACATAAAATCTTTTGAAAACAACAACAACAAAGGTGATCTCCCTTTCACACACAGCAATTGTGTCATATCAACTTCTCCCTATGAAAACATACACTTTAGGTATAATACCAGGACCCACCTACCTAGAGCCCTGGGATAATCTAGACTCCCATAAATTTAAATTCATACTGTTTTTACAGATATCAAAGGTAAAGCCAATTGTCCCATACTGCCAAAGTGGCTTGTTCACTTTTATAGATTTACATTTGAAATGAGCCCTTTGATATTCTTCCCCATATCATGTTACCGATCTTCCTAAATTGGAAGACATTGATGCCAGCCTCTTCTAAGTTCTTCCCTTAAATCCCATCCAAATCTTTCACCGAGTCTGTGAAAGAGTTCTCTGTGGGCTCTCCTCCCCTTGGTCACTACAGTCTTCTATTCTACTTTCTTCTCTTCCCTTTATATAAACATCATCACTCCTATGTAACAACCATCTCATCATTTTCTTTACTTCCCTCTTTCATTCTTGCGTCTTTGCATCTTCTCTCCACTGTATTTCTTTTCCACACTGTCAGTCCACCATAGGCCACTCTGACTCAGCAACCTGGCCTCACTTACTCTGTTTTTCACAGTCCTTTGCTCATAATACAGCAGGCAACTGGGGCTCAGTCCCTCTGTGAGCCCACTGAGGAACTGCAGGGAGTGGATCACAGATTTGAACCACTGGCGATCAAGGGGGGCAAGGGACTTTAACCTCAGATTCCCTTTCCTCAATGATTTCTAGCCAAATGAGTGCCTAGATGTCAAACATGCTGCTATTAGGATTACGTTTATTATCTCGCCAAAACCCGACAGCTCCATGGACTGCTGGCCCTATTTTAGAGATTAAAAATCCAAAATGCAGAAAGATTAAGTCACTTGCTGAAAATCAAACAGTTAATAAGCAGCAGAGCTGAACTCCAAATCCAGTCTTGTCTCTTCCACCATATGACACAATGTCATAAAAGCCACAGCACAACCATTCCCGCACAGCTGGCACTCTTCGCGGGCTTGCACAGCCAGAGACATGCTTGCACGTCTCCAGCTTCTCCTTGCAAGGAAAACGTATTAAGATAGCTGCCCAGATTGTTTTAATCTTCTTGCATGTATAGAAAAATCTTCTGGGTCATAATCCACCAGCCATGTGAAATTTTTATAGCATCATCATCTGTGGCTACTCCCACCTCAAATACCAGTTACTATGAAATTATGCCAGAATTTGGATCAAAGTATGGGGGGAAATGCAAGGCAAATTTTTATCTGATGAACTCATGGCAGAGGATCAAATTTCATAGAGAGTTCCAGACTCTAGTATATTAAAAAACAATCTGTAACTTTACTGTGAGGAGACTACTTTATTAGAACAACTAAAACATGCTGAGCTCTGTTGGGACACAGAGGTCATGCTAATGTGTGAGCCAAGGAGAGTCTTTTCTTGCTTTAGTAGAAAAGATAATAATCTGCAAATCACTAGCATCTGAGGCTGGCTTGATTTAAAATGCACACAGATAGAGGAAAAAGTTCCAGGAAATCACTGTATTTATAGCTTGCCTACATTAGTCAGTGGAAAGGCCCTTGCTACTCTCAAAATAACACTTGGGAAGGCACTGCATCCTAGCACCTTTGCTAAGCAAAGGCATGCATGGTTCTCATCTGCTGTTCTGTAGGTTCCCTAGGAGGAAATCTCCCACTTCACAGGGAGCCAGGACGCAGACAGGGCCCTCCAACCTCCCCCACCTCCAACCCCAGCTGTATAACAGCTGGCTCAAGGAAGTGGCACCCCCAGAAACCCCTCAGCAAGCCACCTGGAGGAGCTCTTGCCTTAGGTCCCCCCACCAACCACCGAACCATTGGTCAGATTTAGAAAGCAGAGCCCCCTTAGCATTAAATCCTCCAAGACACAGGATCTTCACCACAAGGATAAGACGCAGGGGAAGCTTCCGGCCGGTGTCAATCCCCAAGCTCTTTCAGAGAAGAACTACATAAGCATCTCAGGAAACGACAGACAGCAATCTTATATACAAATTACAGAGAACGAGACCCCAGCCATGCACTCAGTGGGCTGTCTGGGGTTAAAGTATTCTAATCCTCTTAGCACAGAATTTCATAAATCTTGGTCCATACAAGTGTGGGCAAGGCTCCAGACACGAGGGATATCTATCTGCTTAGAACTGCTTTCCCTCCCAAGAATACCATAGCAACTCGAAGACCTTCCTGGGGCAGGAAACGGTCAGATCTGCTCATTCTGCGGACTCACAAAGGCCTCTGTGGCAGACACACATCCAGTGACTCCAACAGGGAAGGGGAAGACTGGGGTGCAGAGGGGCACTTCACCTGGCACACTGGGCTGGAAGACTTTATTCAGATCCAAGGAGGAAGCTCTGGAATGGGTTTTCTGTGGCCGCGGTGGCGGGGTGGGAGGGTCCTCGCCCCTTTTCATGGCCTCTTCTATGGAGGTGCTAGAGTAAGATCTGCAGCAAAATAAGGGAAGGTCAGAAGGGAGACAGCAAAGCTTTAGTCTCTGAAGTAAGGTTGAAATGGAAATACCCACAGAAGTCAAAGTCACTTTTCCAAAAGACTGACCAAGGCCCATCTCAAAGCAACCACGAATTCAACTGTCCCTTGGGTACCACTACCGGCAATAACTATCCAAACCCAGCCATGAATCAGAACCTTTTTTAACCCCTTTGTTCATATTATATCTTAGATCTAAATTTACACAAAGGAAAAGCTTCCTGTAAATTCAGATCCGTTTCTATGGGTATTGTTAATAAGAATAACACGTAAGCCTTCTGTTTAGGCACGTCCGTGTTGGAACAGAAGGGCTTCAGGGTCTTAACAGACTGCAGCTCTTTTCTCCCATTCCCATGCGAATGCGATGACAGGCACCTATGGAAGTGGGGCAGATAAGCTGAGAGTGAAGAATCAGCAGCTCAAGGGACTATGCCACAAACGCATTTCAGGAAAGGGAAACACACATGTATCAGATGGAGGGGTCTAGGCTGTCTTATCGTGAGAAATACCAGTTTGGGGAAATTTTCCAAGCAAAAGCCTCCTCTAAACTTTGTCCTTCATTCTGTAACAAGGCAGTAGCTAACTAGACAACTTCTGAGATTGTAACTCCAATAATTACATTCAAAGGAACAAGAAATAAATAATCTACCAAAGGTCACACAGTTAGAAAGTTATATTGGTTCAATTCAAACTCCAATCTGTTTCTAAATTCCATTTTTAAAATATTCTGATACTGCCTATGAGCCCGGAAAGAAATCTTTTGGCAGCAGTGGCTAAACTACTTGTTAGAGACTTAATTATTTTCTATATTAATTCAACTCAGTACATTAGTCTATTGCTTAGAAACAGGTTTGTGGGTGAGTTTCCAATATGATTTTCTAAGAAGTGGATGTGTACATCCGTTCTATTCAGCCTCTCAGCTAAGCTCATGTCAAAGAATAAAATGACCTTTGAGTCAGAGATGTGTTCTAGAGGCAAATTAACCTCAGAAAACTATTATTAGTATTTAGCTATTAGAGTGCCATTTATGAAATCAGAACCTATCAACCACTATTAAGCAACTTCAGTTCTTGATAAAGCTGGTTTTGACATAGCAAGTTTTTACTTTCCTGAATCATTCCCTCAAGGTTTCTTTGTGGTAGTTGAAGAGTTTTGTCTGTCATACAAGGTTGCAATCTTTCATAAAGCTGCCATAATGGCACAGAACGTGTTCTGGGGTGGGCTCTGTAAAACAACTGGCCAGACAGGCAAGGCAAAGGCATGCAGGAACTGGCAGCAAGAATGGTCTCATACTTTCAATTAGAGCGAAAGGAAATTGATAGAAAAGGACAACAAAGCTTTCAATTGGGAACTCTTGATTTAAAACGGAAATCAGAGACTCTAGCTAGAAATTAAAAGAACTTTTATGCCAGAAAGAGCTTTAGTGACATTCTTCAGTCAAGAAAGAATATATGGTGTGTGTGTGTGTGTGTATGTGTATGTCAACACACATATAGAGAGTTAGGCATACTATCCCATACCACATAGCTCATTCCATTCTATCTCCATATATAACCTGTATACTCGTATTTGCATATGGAAAGCTAACTGAATATTAAACAAGTGATACTGTAAAACTGTGAATACAACCAATTTAAATACAAATGTGCAGGGAATCAACAAAATAATGAATATATGTTGTGTTAAAACAGTGATTTTCCCTCTTTCCCTCATATTTCTACAAAGTTTTACTATTCTAAAAAGGAAAATAAAAGTAATTTGAGTCTCTCAGTCTCAGCAAAGACCCAGTTGGGGAGTAGTGAAAATAAAAACATCCAAATTAGACCAGGAGACCGATCCCTAAGAGAATAATATATAAAAGTTGGCCAGAACTTTAATATATAAAGTTCTATTAATAATAGAACATGTAACTATGAAACTTTATACTTTCATTCACTTTGAGAAAGAGAGGAAGTCAACAGAAGAAAACTGTGAGGTTTAATTTACAGTTAACACAGCACACATAAACAGATTTCTGTAATTCAAAGGTTTTTCAAACTATGAGGGCAGACAAATGTTACTATTCTTATATCCTAAAGCCACTACTTTAAGCCAGTACAGTAAAAGATCCATTCATCCTTAAAAAAAAAAAAAAAAAAAAAAGACGAGTAAATGTGGTAGCCACAGACAGAAACAGGGACTATACCTTTTTTTCTGCCAATAAAATTACTGAATCTATTATTTCAAAAACTATGAATATAGATATCTGTATCTTCTATAAACAAGGAAACAAGAATTCCAGTTTAGAAAATCCAGACATAAAAGATAAACTAAGGGATAACTCTCAGATTTACAAAAAGATGAAGTTTCCTTAATTATCACTATTTCAAGCATATAAAATATGATCAGATTTAAATTCACTTTTTCAGGAATGTGTCTCGTAGCCAAAGGAAGAAAAAGTCACCAAGAGCCAAAGCAAACACATATGTACTGTCCAGTACACACATGTACTTCAGCACTGAAGAGTGGTCCCAATACCATTTCCCCTCTTTGATGTTCTATTAATGTTTCTGTATTTCTCCTCCATCCTCCACTCTGATGTCTGATGTCAACCGCAGCTCTGCCTTACTTGCTCTCCCTCTTCTACTAGCTTCTACGGATCTAAAAACTGTGAAGCCAAAAAGCTGCTCTAAGACAGGATAAAACAGACCATGAGCACTGCTTACCTAAAGCCTCAAGCCTCATCAAAATCACTGTGAGCACTTTCTTTTCCTACTCTGTTTTCATCCCTCAGGAGTCTCACTTCCTGGTGTCCACCTTGTCCTGACAGTAAATTTCAGTGTTACCTTTGAACCACATTTCCTTCTCTCCAAAGCTACTGCCCTCTATTCCTTATCATCCTGCAACAACTGGGCCACATGCACACAAACCACCTCTTGTCAGGCGACCAGCCAGCAGCAGCCACCATCTTCTGGCACTAATAAATACAGAAACTGAGTGTCTCCCAGCAGCACCGCATGCTCCAAGCAAGCCCTTCATGACAAGAGAATTCACCCCTATTCTAAGCTTCAAATCTGATGGGCTGGGCTTCAGGTTCTGGGATTTTATTTCTAGTCGGGGACAGGATAGAAAGGGCATTAAAGCAGAAATTAAACAAACACTACCTGGATCTTGGTCTTGCTTTGAGACTGTTGGAATCCTTAGAAGTGGCTGAAACAAAGATTAGTTGTTGTTTACTTGGCTTTCATTTCTGCAGTTGAACAGGTTTAAAAGCAATATCTGGGCTAGTGCAAAACAAACATTATCAACAGGTAAACGTGAGGTACAGGTGTCCCTGTGGAGAACTCGACTGCCTCCACATTTTCATTATTTTTTTACTTTATTTCTTAAGCTAAAGTCACAATTTAAAGGAGGGAGAGACCAACATTTTTTTCCTTTTGTTAGAGCACTAAGGAGCTATTTTCAAATCTACGTTGACGAATAAAGAAATTCCAGTCCAAAAAGACAACCCTCTCAAGAGGTTATCTGCTTATATAACAGTGGGTTCAGACCTGTGGTTTTCTTGGTCTATCATGAGAGCCTAGTAATTGATTTTGAACCAGCTTCCCCTGAAGGTTAGGAAGAAATCTATCAGGTTACATATTTCAAGGTTTTCTTAAAATATACTACCAGAGCAGCATGACCACAAGGAATCACAGCTCCCACAAGCTGAAATGAGCTACACAGATTTTTCTGTAAGAAAATATTCTTGTGTCCTATGTCTCTGTGACCAAATCATACAGGGGATATTACAGAGTGAAACCATTAAAATATTTTATCAACCATATGACTTTTCCTTATCAAATTTAAATCATGAACTAACTTGCTCAGCATCAACACCCATGGAGCCTACTTTCCCATCACAAGTTGCTGGGGTAATTATAAACACTTACAAAAAGATTAATCCTTTTTTACATTTTCAATACCCTACGGAAGACAACTTCAGAAACCATTAGTTATGTTAAGGTTTTGCAACCACTGCAAATTTTTCATCATAAAATGTTCATTAAAAATCCATAGAAAAAGTGCTACTAACTAGGAACAAGAATATAGTTTGTATACTGTTTGTGCAAATTCTTCCAAACATTTTCTTGTGTCTCAATGAATTACCCCACCCTTTTTTATATTGCTCTAAAGATAACAACCCTCCTTGGGAAGAAGCAGCCTGGATTGATGATGGTCATTAAAATCCATGGGTTAGATAAGCAGCAGAGAAAGGGGAGCTAAAAATGCTAATAAGGCACAACGCAAACTAGCAATATATATTCCCTCAGATATGGTCAGCTGCAGAAAAGATGCATTTCTCCCCAAAATAAACATTTTGGCTTGGTGTAGTGAGAACATAGGCACCTTTTAACTTTAATCCCTCAAAATGCTTCCAAAGCCCTAAAAAGCATGGAAGGCCTAAGAAGTTTGAGCCCTGACCTACCCATTAGCATGCACCCACACCTGCAGGTACATGCAGCTCCCCCCGCCACCCCTAACCCCACAAACCCCAGGCAGCGAAGGAAGGGGGCCTAAGAGGAGCCCATCCTGCAGTCAAGCAGGCTGCCGTGGGGCTGACTGAACAGTGTAAACAGACTCACCACAAAGCTGGGGGCCACCCTCTTGGCAGGCTCCCCACAGCTGGCTCTGAACCCCTCTTCTCCCTCAGGCCACTCTGCTTTCCAGAAATATGTGGGTTGGGAGAGTCTCAGTCATGTTCAAATAGAAGTCTGGTTCCCCAAACCAGATCATGGGGGGTGACCATTAAGTCCTTTGTCAGTTGCCATTATCTCTTTTTGCTGGGATAAGAATGGGTGTGGAAGGAGGGGTAAACCCTGCCGGTGAGAGATAGACACATAGACAGATGGGGTGTGGGGTATGGATAAGCAATGGAGACCCAGACAGGAGTCCTGAGGCCTACATATCCCTCCAGGCTACAACCTTAACTATTATATTTCTGAGCCTCAGTTTCCTCATCTACAGAATGAAGATAATAAAAATGTGGCCTCTTTCTCATGGGGACAGAGAAAAGGTGAAGGTATTTTGAAAACTAACTGTATTTTAGAATTGCAAAATATTACTGTTAGAGAGTGCTCCTAATTTTTCGAGCTAAGAAACCTGGATTCTTTTTTTTTTAGGAAATTTTTCATAGTTCTTTTTTTTTATTATGTTCAATTAGCCGACATATAATACATCATTGTTTTTTTTTTATTAACATATAATGTATTACTTGTTTCGGGGTACAGGTCTGTGAATTATCCGGCTTACACAACTCAGAGCACTCATCACAGCACACACCCTCCTCAATGTCTATCACCCAGCACCCCCATCCCTCCCCCCCCCCCTCCCCTTCGGCAACCCTCAGTTTAAAGATTAAGGTCTCTTGTGGTTTGTCTCCCTCTCCGGTTTCCTCTTGCTTCATTTTTCACTCCCTTCCCCTGGGATCCTCTGTCTTGAGAAACCTGGATTCTAAATTTAGTTCCCATTAGGACAGCAAAAGAGGCACAGGTGGGAGCAGGTGATGGAAGGAGAAAACTGCTCTACCCCGGAAGACCGTGGGGCAGCAGCTGAGGGAGCCGCCAGAATCACCAGTGGCGCCTGGTGACTACGGTGTGAGGATCAACAGGCCTAATCCCCTCGGCGTGACCTAGAGACGTCAAGAAAAAGATCACCATTGTACAGTGTGCCCTGTTGAATTAGGCTGGAATACGATGTTAGCTAAGGAATCTATTAGTCTCCACTAATATATACACTTGCAGCAATTACAAGGGTAAGGTCTATTTAAAAATACGTGACGAGGAATTACCCCCATTCCCTGACAACGGTCCTACCACCACATCATCCTCATCACCACTACTATTATCATTATCATCATCATTATTACCAGCCACCGTGGAAGAGCAGGGCAGGGTGACTCTTCTCCTGCTATCGGCAAAAATATACTCCAGCCAGATCTTGGTAAGTTCCCACAGGTTTCGTTCAGATGACGAGAAGCTAGAGAACACTCTTTTAGTTAAGTCTCCCATCGGCCTCTAAGCCCCGGGAAAGTCAGACTCGGCATTTGGGGCATGCGAATGTCTGCAAAAACGGCCAGGGCACGTTGTGTTGGGATCCAGGCAGAAGCCAGCGGGGAGATCACAGCTTCTCATTTAACTGGGAAGAGGGGAGAAGAATGACAACTTCCTAGAACACCCTGGGAAGGTCAACTTTGCAACAAACTGAAAAAAGATTAAAAGGCAAGCTTCAAGTTTAAGTCCCTAAAAGGCAGCACTCAACTGAGGCGAAACGTCTGTGTGGCACGGACAGACATTCAGAGTTAAAAACCACCACCTTGAAACTCTATAGTGTCTCGCACTAGAAACCCAAACCTGCCCCAGGAAAGGGGGTTTTAAATGGGTTTTCAGATGAGGGATTCCCTCGTATCTACTCCAGAAATGGGCAGCAGTGGAAAAAATGAATCAGAAACCACATAGCATGTTCCCAGGCAGAATGTGAAACAAATTCAAATGTACTTCACGCACCATGGCACACCCTGATAGCATTTGTCGGGCAACTCCATGCCCCAGTCAATGAAGGAATCATAAAAATGACATCTGACGCTCATGCTCCAGAGAACACATGATGCTCATGGGAAAAAAATAGGAAGTTATTAGCCTAAAAGGCTGTTGGAAAAGCACCAATTTAACTCTCCAAGTTCAACTAGCTTTTACTATACAGTTAACATGAAGTTTACAAAAACAGAGGTGCATCCAGTTTAGCTCCAGAAATTACAGGTGGAAAGAACCCACCTGAGGCATTTGCCCTGAAATGGGAAAAGAGAGCAAGCCTGAAGTTTAATTCTCTAACAGGCCAGCATTCCATTTGTCGTCACATAAACTGAGCATTTCTCCCTATGATGAAGGAACCCAAATCAGTTTCAAAAACCTAAATGAAGCTGGAGAATTCCTACCACTTTTGGAGTCATGATTGATCTACAATCTCAATTTTCTATTTCTTAACATCAACTCCTAGAGGCAGAGGCTCCCAAAATAGGCTACACATCAGAATCGCCTGGGGGGCTGACTAAAAACACAGAATCTTAAACCTCATCACTGAAATCAATCATATAGTCTCATTCATATTCATGTTCTCTCTTTCTCTCTTTCCCCCCCTCCTCCTTTTATCTTCCCCCACCCCTCTCTCTCTTTTAAACCTTGAATGAACTTAGTGTTTGGGAAATACGGTACTATAGAATAAGACTCAATGTTACACTGATACCTTTGTTCCAACTTTAAACAAATAAGGCCGGGATGATAGCCAGCTAACCAAAACAAACATGATTTACTTACTAAATATTATGAAAGACAACAATGAGAGAATGCAGCAACTTCTTTCACATCCTCATAACTGGAGCTCCAAAGAGTAATGCCCTCCCTAGCCTTTGTTTTTAACTAGGTTCAGCTTGGTTCAGTGGTGGTTCCCATCAAGAGAGCTGAGGACACAGGCCTGGCCATCTCCACAGTTCACAGACACAGTTTCAAGTCCCTAAGAACATGGACAAACACAACTTTTCTTTTTTCCTTGGAATCCACTCCAAGTATAAGCACATTTACTTGCCTTCCTGGTAGTGAAGTTTAATGAAAATATTTGAGATTTTTGCTTTGGAAATGGAGAAGTTCAGCTGTGGGCCTCCAGTTGATCTACCCATCAGCTCCCTACTCTACACACAAACCACAATGGCTTACTGAAATCTCAACTCCAAGCCTTCCCAATTTCACGGTAAAAGTAACAATGAAACCAACTTCAAACGGCATGATCCTATCAGTGAAACCTAAATTCAGAACTTAAAAAAAAAAAAACAAAACCTACCCTCTTCTCAAGCCTGAAAAGAGGGAAGTGGTAAAAAGCAACCAAAAGGTTACCTTAGAATAAAACACAAGGCAAATATTTAGAGAGAAACCTACACTTCCACCAATTTTCTACTCACTGAAACTACTGGGTTTTTTAAATTAGAAATAATTACATAAAAACATATTAAAATGGTTTTCTCCTACCTGGATCCTCAGACATATCCTTTGGCAAGGCTTCATCCACAGTACTTTTCAAAGCTAGACGTGCTTTGTTTTGTTCTTAAACAACAAGAGAAAGAAAGGAGAAAAAGAAAAAAACTGTAAAATTTTATGTCTGAGGCACATTATATTAAAACAAAGAATTCCTATGAAAATGGTGTTTTAAAGCTCTATAGGTTGGTATAGCACTTAGTAAAACAATAAAAACACCCTAACATAAGGAAATAGGTTCTCATCCCACAAGGAACAAAGCAGTATTTCCAACTTTCAACAGAGAACACCTCTAGTGGCTATGAAGAATATTACCAGAAAATATGAGAAATTTCCCCCTTTCATTCCTGACACCCAGACCAATGACATCAGAATCTCTCTGGGAGGGGTGCCCGGGGGGGCTCAGGTGGTTAAGCATCTGCCTTCAGCTGGGGTCATGATCACGGAGTCCTGGGATGGAGCCTCACATCAGGCTCCCTTCTTAGTGGAAACCTGCTTCTCTCTCTCTTCCCTACTTGTACTCTCTCTTTCACTGTCCATCTCTCAAATAAATAAAATCCTTAAAAAAAAAAAAAGAATCTCTCTGGGAGTGAGATGCAACCTTCGGTATTTTCAGACCTCACGAGGGTATTCCAAAATACAATCAAGGCTTAGACCCACTAGTAAAGCCAGTGATGAGAGTACACACTGTTGCAAAAAATGTCTAGTTCTGCCTGCCTCTCCTGAACAAATATTTAAATAGAGAGCAAACAATTATTGTTTCCTAATGGAAAACTTATTTTTCATGTTTAACTCCTGTACAAAGCGGCAACAATGGCAAGTCTCCACAATAAAGCCCGAAATAGCTTCAGGGCTTTTTAGTCCCTTCAGATAAGCCTCTCATTCGTGGGTAGTAAATCAGTATCAAATAATAAAAAGAATACCGGCTTGAGACTTAGAAAATCTTTGTTCTTATCTCCATTCTTTTTATTAAGCAATGGATACATACTGACTGCACTTCGGTTTACTGTCTCTGTGTGTTAGGTGATAAAACATATTAGCCTCCATCCAGTTTTGTGAGACGTAAGACAATGAAAGAAGGATCTGGTAGATTATAAAGAATTATATGAAGTGGTGTTGCGAGCGGGGGGTGGGGGTTTGACCTCCAACTGTTCTTCTGAACATTCCCAGGCCAACTCATCTATGTGCTTCATGGCAGCTCTAACATGGAAAACTGTGCTGTACGGCTTCTCACTCGCCCGTCGCCCAGTAAGACAGACAAAGGGTTGCTGGCTCCATGACATAGCCTTGCATCCACAAAGTCACAAGATAAATCCAAGGGACAGAAACTCTCTCTAGAAGATAACTTCCTCAAGGATTAGAGCTATTCACAAATATGCATTTATACTGATGTTCTTGGATCACATCTGTCAACCCAAGATGTTAAGCTCTCAGCTTCCAGTCATTTCCTAATTAGTACAACCAAATCCCAATGTAAAGGGTCAGAGTAGTCTGAGGGTTAGAAGTGAGTAAGGGACCAAAGAGTTAGCAGGCTGTGGAAGCTCCTGTTACCACTTTAGAAACTACAGTTTTCTGGGGCGCCTGGGTGGCTCAGTGGGTTAAAGCCTCTGCCTTCGGCTCAGGTCATGATCCCAGGGTCCTGGGATTGAGTCCCATATCAGGCTCTCTACTCTACGGGGAGGCTGCTTCCTCCTCTCTCTCTCTGCCTGCCTCTCTGCCTACTTGTGATCTCTGTCTGTCAAACAAATAAAATCTTTTAAAAAAAACTACAGTTTTCTGACAATTTGAACTACTTAATCCATCCAAATGTGTTCATATACTGAGCACTGCCCTTATATGCTCCAGAAGAAAGCCATTCCAAGAGAAGTAGATGAAGAAACACAGGTAGAATGTCCCTTAAGGAAGAACACCCATTCTTTGCATACCTTGTTTGTCATCACTAGTCACATCTTGGGCTGGGACAGGAAAGTCAGCCATGTCTTTAATAGATAGCTTCTTGGAAAAGAAAAGTAAATAAATTATACAGGTTGAAGTATAAATTAAGTTACATGTATGATGAAAATGCTTTCAAAACTACATAGCTTGCCAATATTTCTGTCTCCAGTAAACTCTAACATTCAATACTACTTTATTTTTTTAGATTCCTAGTGAGGTGTAAGTTAATTTGTGTTGAAAATTTACATGTGGGGCACCTGGCTGGCTCAGTCAGTAGAGTGCATGACTCGTGATCTCAGGGTCCCAAGTTTGAGTCCCATATTGGGTGTAGAGAATACTTTAAAAACTTTATAATTTAAAAAAAAATAAAATTTACATGTGCAGAGGGGAAAAAATGACGATTCAGATTTAGACATATGTATAAGACTGCACATTAAATCTGAACCTGGTGTGGGATTCAGCCAGAGAATTGTGTGACATTTGCCCATTCTGCCAAAAACAAACCTGCACTTTATATACTTTTTCACAAGCAGAGAGGGGTTCTGACAAGTGGCCCCATAATGTAGGTATTTGCCAAAATCTGTTACGCAGAGAGTGTTCAACCCTGATTCAAACAGCTTCCTTGTCAAGGAATGAGAAAAATGAGCAGAACAAAATTTTCTCCTAACTCTATTAGGGGAAGTCCTCACTAATATTAAAAAGAAAGAATATTCAAATGATCACATATTGATTGGTTTAAAATTCTATTTAAAACCTACTTACTATAAATTTGTATTTCTTATAAAAATCTCAACTAATATGCATTCTAAGATCTCTGATAAAAGAATAACATATATTAATATTTACTATATCTATACCTAAATCTATATCTATATATATAAACAAATTCTGGAAAGATACATAAAAATTTAAGGGGACTGGGTAGATGATAGAAAGGATGGGAGGAGGACTTGTAACTATATGCCTTCTGATAGTCTTTTAATTTTAAACATACTCAGAAAATCAAATAAACCTTAAAGGAAGTAGGGTGAATCCTGGAGCCATCTAGTGCTCCAGAAGATTAACTGGTTTGCCTCTCAATCTGAACAACCCCAGGGACATAAGCAATACTTCTGTTTTTCAACTGTTTCAAAGAACGGAATTCAGTACTGCTTGGTGGTGACCTGATCTAGGATTTAACAGTCCACAGGCAGGTGATTCTTGGGATTACCATGAAGCCTTCAGATATAATTACCTATTCAAAGTCTACTATCTCCAATAGAAAAGAAAATGTATCTTAACAGCGCCTTTCTTTCACTTGTTTCTCCCACCTGGACTATAAACTAGAACCCTAGTAAAAGAAAATGATTTAGAAGTAGAAAATTAAATAAAAAGTCATCCCCAAAAAAGTACCTTTGAAAGAAATTTTTTTTAAAACCTAAATAAATGGAAAGGCATCCCATGTTCATGGATCAGAAGACTCAATATTGTTAAGATGGCAATACTCCCCAAATTCATCTACAGATTCAGTGCACTCCTTCCTCACATTTTTGCAGAATTTGAACAGCTTGTCCTAAATTTCATAAAGAAATGCAAGGGACCCAGAATAGTGAAAATATTCTTTAAAAAGAACAACAAAAAACCAAGTTGAAGGACTCAGACTTCCCAATTTCATAACTCACCACAAAGTTATCGTCATCAAGATAGAGTGGTACTAACATTACGACAGATCAATGGAATAGAATTGAGAATCCACAAATAGGCCCTTATATTTACAGTCAACTGATTTTCAAAAAAGGTGCAAGACAATTCAATGGGGGAAAACTGTCTTTTCAATAAATGATTCTGAGATAACTAGATATCCATATACAAAAGGATGAAGGTGGGGGCATCTGGGAGGCACAATCTGTTAAGCATCCAACTCTTGGTTTCAGTTCATTTCATGATCTTAGGGTTATGAGATCAAACCCTCCATTAGGCTCCACACTCAACAAAGAGTCTGCTTAAGACTCTCTCTCTCTCTCCCTCTGCCCCTCCCCACCACTCTCTTTCTCTCTCTCTCTCTAAAATAAATAAATCTTTGACATAAAGAAAAGAATGAAGGTGGACCTCTTCCTCATGACACACCCAATAATTTACTCAAACTGGATCACAGACCTAAATGTGATCTAAAACTATACAACTCTTAGAAAACCACATAGGAGTAAATCTTCATGATATTCTGTTAGACAACGGTTTCTTAGATATGACACCAAACGCACAAGCAACAAAAGAAAAAAATAGATGAGCTGGACCTTGTTAAAATAAGATATTTGTGTTACAGAGGCCACTATCAAGAAAGACAAAAGGGGGGGGCGCCTGGGTGGCTCAGTGGGTTAAGCCGCTGCCTTCGGCTCAGGTCATGATCTCAGGGTCCTGGGATCGAGTCCCGCATCGGGCTCTCTGCTCAGCAGGGAGCCTGCTTCCCTCTCTCTCTCCCTCTGCCTGCCTCTCTGTCTACTTGTGATCTCTGTCAAATAAATAAATAAAATCTTTAAAAAAAAAAAAGACAAAAGGGGGGCGCCTGAGTGGCTCAGTTGGTTGGGCACCTGTCATTAGCTCACATCATGATCCCAGAGTCCTGGGATCAAGCCCCACAACTGGGGTTTGGGGGGGGGGGGGGGGTCCTTGCTCAGCAGGGAGTCTGCTTCTCCCTCTTCTTCTGTTGCTTCCCTGCTTGTGTGCTCTCTCTCCATCAAATAAATTAAAAAAATTTTTTTTAAAAAGGAAAAAGAAAATACTTGCAAATTATATATTGAATAAAGGACTAATATTCAGAATATATAAAGAACATTTACAACTCAATAATAACTCAATTTATAAAAGGACAAAGGATTTGGATATCTCACCAAAGCAGATATACAAATAGCGAATAAGCACAAGAAAAGATGCTCATCAGTAGTCATTAGGAAATTTAAATTAAAACCACAATGAGATACCAACCACTTTACTCTCACTAGGATGGCTAAAATAAAAAACACAGAAAATAACAAGTGTTTTTTAAAGGATTTTATTTATTTATTTTAGAGAGAAAGCGGGGGGTTGGGGGGAGAGGGACAAGCAGACTTGCACTGAGCAGAGAGCCCCATGCAGGGCTCGATCCCAGGAACCTGAGATCATGGTCTGAGCTGAAACCAAGAGTCAGCTGCTTAACCAAATGAGCCACCCAGGTGCCCCAATAACAAGTGTTAACAAGGATATGGAACAACTGGACCCCTCATACATTACTGGCAGAGGAATGTAAAATACCGCAGGTGCTTAGGAAAGCAGTTTGGTAGTACCTCTAAAAGTTAAACACAAGTTACAATATGACACACAATTCTACTCCTAGGTAAACACTCAAGAGAATTGAAAATATTATGTTTTCACACAAAAACTGCTACATTATTGTTCATAGCAGCATTTTTTCCCCTCACAACCCCAAAGTGGAACAAATCAAATGTCCATCAACTGAAGAACGGACAAACAAAAGTGGCAGACCCACAAAATGGAATACTACTCAGCAATAAAAAGGAATGAAGCACTGAAACATGCTAGAACATGAATAAACTCTGAAACATTATACTAGGAGCAACTGAGTGAGTGGCTCAGTCAGTTAAGCATCTGCCTTCAGCTCAGCTCATCTGGATCAAGCCCCACATCAGGTTCCCTATTCAGGGAATAGGAACCTTCACCCTGCTTGTGCGTGCTCTCTCTCTCTCTCTCTAATAAATTTTTTTTAAAAATGAAACATTATACTAAATGAAAGAAAGCAGTCACCAAAAAAAAAACCTATATATTGTATGATTCTGTATGAAATGCCCACAATAGGCAAATTTGGAAACAAAAAAATAGATTACTGATCAGCAGAGGCTGGAGGGAAGGGGGTATAGTCAATGAGTGCTAATGAGTACAGGCTTTCTTTTCTGGAGTGATGAAAAATGTTCTAAAACAAGACTATAGTGATGGTTGCACAATTCTGTTAATATGCTAAAAACCACTGGATCATATACATTACATGAGTACATATGTGAATTATATTTTAGTAAAGCTGTTTCCAAAAGAAAGAAATCTAGTAATGTAAGAAGCATTGCTAAAGAGGACTTTACCTGAAATCATAATCTTTAATTCTTGAAGGAAACAAGTACATGGTTATAGCCCTGCTGTCTAGAGATCTGATCTGTACTGCTGAGCAAAGCTCTCGTGACCTAAATTGGCTAGCCTCATTCACAGCACAAACACCTTCATGGAGTCATTCTTCACAGGACTAGTATCAAGATCTATTTAAATCCCATGCATGCATTCACGAGAGATTAAAAGATTGGTAGAAAGAACAATGAATAAAATAGAAGAAAATGAAATATTTAATCATTAGCTGCTAAAATTTGACCTATACTTCTTGAATGGCCAAAGCATCAACTGACCTCAATACTTCGTCCTTGAATTCTGTACATTATTACATGATTATCTAAAAGCACCCCACCCTAGAATATAACAATTTTGTGGAGAAAGAGTTGTTGTTGTTGTTTTGCTGTCTTGTTTGGACAGGGCAAAAAAAAGACTTTTAACCACCACCAACCCCCACCAAAAGAGCCAGTTTAAAGTATACAAACATATTTAACACAAAACTGGCTGCACATCACGTCCATAAAGGTGAGTATCTATAATGTCATCAAGGACATCAGAGCGTGCGTGTGTGTTTTAAAGCATCGCCATTTACAGACTTCACAACTGACTGTAGATCTGCTCCTTTCCTTTTAGACAGATGATAAATGACTACATGGGGGAAAGCAACACAAGCCAGTAATTAATTTCTCTAAAACGCAGCCAGTATTTGTTTCCGTTGGAAGGGCAAAGACCACCTGATACCATGGCAAGTTGAAACCTAACACTTGCCGAGAAAGAATAAGAATTTATGACATTTTTAAATAAATCACCTAACAGCCTCATAATTTTACATAAGCAAGGGGACCCCTAGCAAGCAAGCAAACAAACAAAAACAGGGCAACTGCATAAATCTCCAGACACTGCCAGCAGCCCCAGAGTACACAGAGGTTCGGGAAAAGTGGCTAATTGTTATCTGCTTCTCTGTCACACACGTTCTTCAAAAAAAAAAAAGAAAGAAAGAAAGAAAGAAAGAAATTTAAAAACCTTAAACTCTTCAGATGCACATCTATCACTCTTCCTGATGTCACTTTATACCTACTTCCTGACAGTAGAAAGCTACTCATGAAAAGAAAGAGAGGCTCTGACTCAAAGAGAGAGTAGGAGAGAGGCCAAGAGAGGTGTTACCAGAGGGAACACTGCAGAAGCAGGCTGATTCCATCACAGAGGATGTCACTGCCACACAGACTATATGCATAAGAGCCCCATGGAAAAAAAAATAAATAATTACACCCAGTTGCAAGAAGTGAAAGAAATGACCCTGTATCCTGCGTCTGACTTCCATCATCTTGCAACAGTTTTAACCGGGGTCGGAGGACTATAATAGCAACCTATGAACAATCCTCCATTTATTACACATTTCCAGACTTTTTTTTTAGGATGGGAACAGCAGATATCATAAGGTGTCATCATAGCAACCATAACAGTGATGATGATGATGAAGAGCGTGCTGATATTAAGAACAACCATAATGACTCCTATTCATTGGTGCACACCTAATGACCACTAGGCATGTGGCTAGACCCTTACATCAATGGCCCAACACTGTAGGAATTCTACAGATTTCTCTTGGGAATAATCCAAATCAGTCTTTGTTTGGTCCCAACACTAAAAACCCCAAGGAAGAAGGCAACTTTGATTGTATTCTGGGATTCTCTTACATAGTTCTCAAACTTCCTCTTAAAACTATTCCAGGTCCATTAGACCTAGCTCATACTCAGCTACTAAAAATACTTTCCTACACTTACTTCAAAATTAAAGCTTCGTTAAAGTAAACAATTTGCCTAGCATTTTTCTGGCTTACTTTGTCTACACCTACCTTTCACCCCTAGAAGGTCAAGACACTACTTTGCTCATTTCACTAAATCTAGTTCTAGGAAGAAAAGGGAAAAGAGTAATAGATATATCTGATGTCTAGATTTGAAAGGCTGAGCCTCAACCGAAGTACTTAGCATGAAGAGAAATGCTATAAAAGTGGATTTTCTAGAGTTTGTAAAGAACACAGGCTAATGGATTTTAATTCCACACACATTCTTATTTATTAACATATGAAGATCTTTTACCTCCATCCGATTCAAGTCACGGGGTTGTTGGTTCGCAGGCATTGACTCAGAATAAGAATCAAATAGTGTGCACTCCCTCTTGGGCTTAGGAAAGGCTAAGAAGAAACAAGAAGAATACATAAGAATATATACTATATTCACAGCAGGCATTGTTTCCTATCAGCTCTTCTGTGCTTAGGAAATATAACAACAAAACCTGCTAGCACCGATACACTACACACTACTTATGGCAGTAATCAGGCCAAGGTAGTATTTTAAGTTCTTCTCATATACAACCTATTATTTCCATCATCCCCATTTTACATGTGATGAAACCTTGAAGCAGGGAAGTTAAGCAACCTACTCAAGGTCATTTAGATGGTAAATGCAAGACTAGGGACTTGAACTGTCAGCATTTACATTGTAACACAGTAGTAACCTTCACTATCACAATACTTTATATTTTAACTATGCTACTAGCATAATTCTTAAATGGCAGTAACTAGTGATAGTTTTAATGCTACAAACATTAACTAAGGAAATACTTCATTTTAGCTATTACTATTAGAAATAGACATGATCTTAAATGATAGGTGACCAAGAAAACTTCATAAAATTCTTTTGGTTAGCAGAAATAACAAAAATAAGAGTACAAGTTCTTGCTGATTTACAAGGAAAGAAGAATCACATTTTGGGTTTCGTCTAACATAGAACAGTGACAGAAGCTGCGGTTAGCTGGGTAGCTGAGTGGATTATGCTACTTGGTAAACTAATACTCGCCACACCATTTCTGAGAAGCAGATTCTATTTCAACTCTTTGTCACAAAGTAATTAAGAAAGAAATGTCTCAATAACCAGGAAATTGGCCAATATCCCAAGGTTGACAATAACCAGAAGCTACAAATTTATCAAGACCAACTATTACAAAATCAAAATGTTAATGCCATGTTTAAACAATTTTTTGAATCAAATGTTAAAAATGGATTGGCATTTTTTTAAAAAATATGGAACACTTCATAAATTTGCATTGTCATCCTTGCACAGGGGCCATGCTCATTTTCTCTGTGTCATTCCAATTTTGTATATGTGCGGCCAAAGCGAGTACGGATTGCATTATTTTTTAATCCTTTCTCACCCTCCCACCCCCACCAGAGTTTGAAATGCCACCTTCCCTCTGCAGTCAAGTACTAGCCCCTGACTAACAGCTACAACAGGCAGTTGAGTACAAGCATCTTAAACTGTTCATTTGCTTACTTTGGTCTGAACTTCACTGATATTGAGTAAGGAGAGGGTTAAGGTACAGGCGGGGAGGGACAGGAGGCCCATGACTAGGCTCTGAAAGAGTGAACAAGAGATGAGGGAGGAGACCAGGCCACCTGGTCCCGGATGTGAGGGAGTATTTGTCTCTGGCGGCTACAGTGTGATTGCAGAAATGGATCAAACCTCATAGAAGTCAGTCATTAAGGGTGTTTTCTGTTGTCCCTGCTCAGACCAAGACAGCCCAGGAGTCTCAAGGCCACAAGCTCCCTGGTCAATTTTTCAATAAAAGACCAACCTAAACCCCCCCGCCAGTGGCAACCCATTGGGGACCCCTCTCCCCCCAGAGAGCTTTTTCTTTCCTTTCTGCTCTCACCTTCACTTCAGAAACTTTCACTTCACTTCACCCCTTTGTGTGTGAGAGGGTCATTGTTTGACTCTGTGAGACGAGAACCCTGCGATCCTGTAACAACATCGAGTAGGGCAAACCACCGGCCCTGGTGATTTTTCTGACTATACCATGCAGTCTCATTTCCTTAGTAAAAACTCAGCGAAACACCTTTCCAAGTACCATTCCACAATCCGACCACACCAGCAGATTTAACCGAGATAAGGTTTTTGCTTCTAGTTTACCAATCAGTGATTCGACTAGAATTGCATGACTTAAGCTTTATCATGAGAGGGTCTTGGCTACAGACAAAGCTAACACTTTCCAAACCTACAAATGCCATCATTAACGGCTAAATTTCTCTCTAGCCTGTCCCCATGTCTCCAACTCCACTGTCACCTCCCTAGTGCCAGCCCCCTGTGGATCTAACTGGACTGCTGCCATAACCTGGTCCTCGAGTGTACTCTTGCTCCTCAAAACCTGCTCTCCAATCAGCACCAGCCTCAGCAATCAGCAACCCACAGCAACTCGGACTGGGACACTTCCCTGCTTAAAACCCATCAACGTCATTGCCCATGACTTGTTCCGTACCTTCCTCCTCAGCCTCACCCCCAGCCCCTCCAGCTCTGGCTCCTAGCACTCCAGCCACTGTGGCCTGCACTTTCCATGCCTCCCGTGTCCCAAGTCCCCTCTGGGGCCCTCCGCAGCATACCTGCTGCCCCCTCTGCCCAGAGCCTACCCTTCCCCCTTCTTCACCTACATAGCCCTTAGCTCATCCTTCACATCTCAGCGCAAATATTTAAGGACGTCTTCCCCAAGGTTATGCGCCCTCCTGCCACAGCTGTGTTTTTCCTTCACAGCACCTATCACTGCCTCCAATTACGAGTACACGAGTTTACTGAACATCAATTCTCTAACTGCCAGCAAGTTCCATAACAGTAGGAATGCTCTTCTATACAGCATTCTGACCCGTGAGAGTAACACGGTGCTCACACAACTTTTTTTTAAAAACTTGACAGTAAAAATCTATACCATAATCTACCCAGTCACCTAGACAGGAAAATATCAAAGGACCATGGGTAAGCTACCAAATAATCCAACTTTTCCTTCCAACTGTGTCCTGTGTCCTTTAATTTCCACTATTAGGGAAAAAATCAGATACAACAATTTGTTTCATTATTTTATTGAAAACAAGCTTGTATAATTATAAATGCATGAAGGTATCAACCGAATTTATACCCTTCACCAATCTTATTGAAAACTAGGTTAGATTTTTTATTTTTAAGACTGAACGTAGATGAGAAAAAAAGGTGCAACAAGAAGCTAAGCTTTTTTTTTTTATGTTATGTTAGTCACCATACAGTACATCATTAGTTTCTGATGCAGTGTTCCATGAGTCATTGTTTGCATATAACACCCAGTGCTCCATGCAGTCCATGCCCTCCTTAATATCCATCACCGGCCTCACCCATCTCCCACCCCCTCCCCTCTGAAACCTTTGGCTTGTTTCCCGGAGTCCATAGTCTCTCATGGCTCGTCTCCCCCTCTGATTCCGCCTCCCCTTCATTTTTCCCTTTCTTCTCTTAATGTCCTCCAAGCTATTCCTCATGTTCCACATATAAGTGAAACATATAATTGACGTTCTCTGCTTGACTTATTTCACTGAGCATAATCCCCTCCAGTTCTATCCATGTCAATGCAAATGTTGGGTATTCATACTTTCTGATGGCTGAGTAATATTCCATTTTGTACATGAACCACATCTTTTTTATCCATTTGTCTGTTGAAGGGCATCTCAGCTCTTTCCACCGTTTGGCTATTGTGGCCATTGAGCTATGAACATTGGGATACATGTGCCCCTTCTTATACATCTGCATCTTTGAGGTAAATACCCAGTAGTACAATTGCTGGGTCATAGGGTAGCCCTATTTTTAACTTTTTGAGGAACCGCCACACTGTTTTCCAAAGTGGCTATAAGGAAGTTACATTTTTTAAAAAGCCAAGTGGGATACCATAAAAATGAACCCCCAAGGGGCGCCTGGGTGGCTCGGAGGGTTAAAGCCTCTGCCTTCGGCTCCAGTCGTGATCCCAGGGTCCTAGGATCGAGCCCCGCATCGGGCTCTCTGCTCAGTGGGGAGCCTGCTTCCTCCTCCCCTCTCTCTCTCTCTCTCTGCCTGCCTCTCTGCCTACTTGTTATCTCTGTCAAATAAATAAATTAAAAATCTTTAAAAAAAAATGAACCCCCAAAATGAACAGAATCACACATATATGCAAAGTCTAAAAGCACAGAGAAAACGTAAATAGTCCCAGCCATTTTCTTGAGCTACATACAAAAATAAACATGAGTGATAAAGCATTAAAAAGGTAACTGTTGGGGCGCCTGGGTGGCTCAGTGGGTTAAGCAGCTACCTTCGGCTCAGGTCATGATCCCAGTGTCCTGGGATCAATTCTGCAGCAGGTTCCCTGCTCAACAGAGAGCCTGCTTCTCCCTCTCCCTCTGCCTGCCTCTCTGCCTACTTGTGCTCTCTCTCTATACAGCTCTCTGTCAAATAAATAAATAAAAATCTTTTTAAAAAAAGAGTTAACTGTTAAACCCTTAGGGTTTGCCTAAAATATACCATCACTGAGTTTGATGGGGTTTTATGAGGTCTCTCATGGTTTTTATTAGAACTGTATAATTATTATTTAAAATTAATCCCATAAGCTCTGGAAATGATGTGCAGTTTTTGTTTAATTAAAGGGTACACGATGGATTCTTCAGTTGTTTCTGTATAAATGCATGCTGACAGCCTCCACAAATGATCAGGAACAAACAAGGGGCTTCACTCCAACTGAAAGGAAGCTGCCTCTTGACTGGCACTCTGTTTCACAGACCACCCCCCAACCCGCAACTGCAAAACCAAGGCAAAAGCAGCCATTCGCAGCAGTGAAGGAATCAAAAGAGGTTACTTGTCTTCTGTTAACATAATTTTTGCACAGGGCTTACAGATTTTTTAAAAATTTTGTCAGCGGCTTTTAGGGCACCTGGGTGGCTCAGTGGGTTAAAGTCTCTGCCTTCGGCTCGGGTCATGGTCTCAGGGTCCTGGGATCAGGCCCCACGTCTGGCTCTCTGCTCAGCAGGGAGCCTGCTTCCTCCTCTCTCTCTGCCTGCCTCTCTGCCTACTTGTGATCTCTCTCTGTCAAAATTAATAAATAAAATCTTTTTTAACCCAGGGCTCACAGTAGGAAACAGTGACAGTATTAAATATAACTAACTAGCCCTGGAGCAGACCTTGGCCCTCTGGTCAGTTGTCTATCCTCACGAGAGAGAGAGACAAAGCCTCATGTGGCCTTGCTCCCAGGAAAAGGGGCTCCTGGATGACCTGATACTGACTTGGTTATGAAAGCTACACCCTTGCCAAGATAGCCCCAAGAATGTTAGCTCTTCTTTGCCTCAATCCAGGAGGAACAGAAAGGGGGAAAAATGAGAAAAAAAGATGGTGAGATAGACACCAAAGTGGAAATAGAGCTGTCTGTCATGCTGCCCCACTGCAAACTGGTTCTTGGGGACCCCTGAGGGTCTCCCCCAGCCTGGAAGGAAGGGTAGCAGGCTGGAATAGTCAGAAAGCAGCTGCTATGACCAAAGCCTAAGCTCTGAAATGAGTAGTAGACTCTACTGCCTAAACCTTCCCCTGCATACATTTTATGGAGGCATTTGGGGAAGATCCCAAAATGGGTCACTCTCCCCCAACATGTTTACCTGCCAGTGGCACAGGCCACACACTTGGTCTCCTCCCTTTGGTTGAGCTTTGCCCCCTCCACTACCAAATACAGAAAATGAAAGACTTTGTATTTAAGAGTGAGAGACCCCAAGACTGACTTAGATAAGTCACTGGCCACTTTGAATCTTGTGTTGTTATGAGGCGACAAGACATGAAAAACTGGGCCTTTTTCAGATCTAAACACAAAATGTGTACTCTGTAAAGACTATTCGCAATTTCTTTAGACATTGCTTCTCCTTGCCAATAATCATCCATGGCTAGACGTCTCATGTTTTTAAGAGGCCTTCCCTAATATGTGAGAAAGCTTACTGACAGCACCAGCTGTTTCTGGAACCTTCACAATGGAAGCTATATTTCCCTGAGTAACAGAAATCGTATCAGTGCCCACTGCCTTTGAAAAGGGCAAGAGATATTTAATTTTCCAGTCTTCCAAAAGAACTGATACAAATGTTAGACTCACCATGACTCTTCTTACTGAAAGGGTTTGGGGGTAATAGCTCTATTAAGGAGAAAGACAAAGAGTTCCAGTCCAACCCTGTGGTGTGCTGAATGTTCCATATCTCTATCTGATTGCAGTTACATAGATGTATAGAGATGTAAACATTTATCAAGAGTACATTAAGATCACAGTTCTTTGCACATTTCCTGGCATGTAGTTTTTTTTAAAGATTTTATTTATTTATTTGACAGACAGAGATCACAAGTAGGCAGAGAGGCAGGCAGAGAGAGAGAGGTGGAGGCAGGCTCCCTGCGGCGCAGAGAGCCCGATGTGGGGCTCGATCCCAGGACCCTGGGATCATGACCTGAGCTGAAGGCAGAGGCTTAACCCACTGAGCCACCCAGGCGCCCCTGGCATGTAGTTTTTTAACTTCTTCCATTCCATTGCCCCAGGCCACTTGGGAACATTAGGACATACCTAAAGATGCCAAGTCAGCACTTGACTCTACAGGAAGATCTTCTTCTTCATTTTATATCAGCTGGGAGGTTCGGAACTTGCCTACTGTACAATTTTAATGAAAGGGTAGTGACTGGCTCAGATTCATCCAGAGAATAACAGAATGGGAATAACAAATGACTCACACTTAACCACACCATTCCGAATTCTTAGATCCTAAGATGTGACAATCTAATAGCACTTAAAGGACTTTAGATGCAAAAGATTCCGCAAAGTGCCCGGATACCACCTTAAGGCACAAAAAGTTCTTACAAGGCCTGGATGGAAAATGCCAAAGGTTTAGGGCGCGGAGGACGCCTTACCTGCTTGCAGGTACTCGGGCTGCAGAGTCGGAGGCAGGCCCTCGGGCAGCGGGTAGCCGTTTTTCCGAGCCACGATGAGATGAAACGCGGCACAGAACTCGGGCAGGGTCAGGGCTCCATCACAGTCAGCATCACTAAGTTCCCTAATGATAACGTCACAAGCACGTAACACAGGGCTTAGAGGAAAAGTTACTCAGCCTCAAATATGCAAACATGGAGCACCTGGGTGGCGCGGTCCATTAAGCATCTGACTCTTAATTTCGGTCCTAATCGCAGAGTCCTAGGATCGAGTGCCTTGTCAGGCTCTGCACTCAGCATGGAGTCTGCTTAAGACTCTCTCTCCCTCTCTGCCTGCCCTCCCCCACCCGACCTGCACCGGATCGTGCACACGTCTCTCTCTCCACCCCCAACCCCACCAGAAATCAATCAATCTCTTTTTTTTAAATATGCAAACACAACTCCCAGGCTCTCTGGTGGTGGCCCTGCGAAGTCTCCACACTCCTGTGAAATCTCAGGGGGCACCTGGAAGACGAATGCTGATCAACAGCACCAGTACCAGCAGCACTTTATAAACAAAACTTGACACACTTCAGGTTCGCTGGCAGGTCTGTTTTACAACACTGAGTACAAAAGACAAGAAACTACAGCACAAAAAGGAAAATAAGGCTCAGAATTCGTTAGCTGATAGTCATTCAATAAATGCATGGTAGTGTGAGGAGCTCCAGATCTGGCACTCACAATGGTCAGAGGAAGGGCGGGCCTCAACCTTTCCATAGTTGTCCCAGCCATTATACCGCTAACTGAGCTCAGAAATGAGCACTTCATTTTTCAGCTTTTAGGAAGAACCTTGAACCTTTCAAGTCACATAAATGTTGTATCAAAAATTTGCTTGATAATACCATATTGATATTTAACCTGTATCTACTATTTAACCGTGGGATGATCACCTGTGTGGGGATGAAGATATATGGGAAATCTCTCTAACTTCTGCTCAGTTTGGCTGTGAACCTAAAACTGCTCTAAAAATTAAAGTCTATTAAAAATACAAAACAAAACAAAATTTGCCTGAGAATTAATTCCCTCCTGGGAAAATACAAGTGAGTTCAATAAATACTGGTTGAATTATGTTTTCAGATAAAACCAGCAACTTGGGAAGGCTGGAACCAGGTAAGACAGAAAGGAAGAAACAGTCTTGAAAAGGCTTATCTTAGGTGGGCCCCATGGTGTAATGGTCAGCACTCTGGACTCTGAAAAGGCTTATCTTTGCTTCAGTCAGTGTTTCCCACTGAAAGGCAGAGACCTATTTACTCAGCACAAAAGAAACCTATTTGCCAAAGTAAGACACCATAAGCGCAACCAGTCTCTTAGGTGTACAGAGACAATATACTTGTGCTGGGACAAGTAAAGAGACGGGACATAAAACTGTGCTGGAAAGGTATCTCTACATCAGAGAAGAAATAGAGAAGGTAAGCTCCCTAACTTTCCTCTGGACCATTCACATCCTTCTCCCGCCAATATTTAGAACTCACCAGCCCTGAAGGAGCAGGTCCGCAGGGTAAAGAGTCAGGGAACAGTTTCAAACACTGACTGGAGAGAATACCATTCACCTTTCACGGATATGTCTCAACAAAAAAATAGGAAGCCTCATGCCAATAACATTAAGACTGGGAATTCTGCCAAAAGAGACTGTCTTCTTTTCAAAACAATAGTCTATTTTTCCCCCTAGCTTTAAAATCTAATATAAGGCTTGTTGTAAAAAAAAAAAAAAAAGAATTATGCTAGACTATATTGCTGAAGAACCTAAACCCAGCTCAGAAATCTCAGATACACTGGCATGTGCAAGTGTTATTGGAATAGTTTTCCAATAAAATGCACAAAACATGACAAGCAATTTTAAATCCTACCACAATTTTTGTAAATCCTCATGCAAAAAAGTCTTACACAAATATTCCACTGTTTTAATTATATATTTATAGCAGCATCATCTCCCACCCAGGCTTGAGGAAGAAGGGCCCACACACAGCCGGGAGTTTACAGAGGCACCGAGCGTTCTCATAAACACAAATCAGCCATCTGGACCGGCTCGGGACAGGCCTTCTGGAGCCCGGGCTGCAGCCAGCACGGCGGCGAGGCGCAGTGCGCACCACAGCTGCAAGTTGAAACTAGGGCCCAGCTGATAAACACCAGCCAAATTTATGAAGCTCAGAGGCTGCTAGAATAGTCAAATTTGACTTAATTCCAAAACATTTGTGGACCTTCTGTTCACCTGGCCTCATAAAATATTTTAAAGAAGAGCTTTTCAAGATCCTATGGTAACTTGCATCATATCAAGTAGAAATATCTGAAAATAAAATTCACAAGATGGGAATGCTCATGTGCCCACACAACTGTTTAGACAGGAAAGGGATCTAGAGGAGGATAATAATTGGGAAATTAATTTTTAAGTAACAGCTAACAGTTACAGTGCACCAACATTGTGCTTTTCATATAATAACTTCTTTAATCTTCACAGCAACAAAAATCTTAAGTTCTATTCACTCTTTTATCTGTCAAAAAAAAATTCAAGGGGCCCCCGGCTGACACAGCCAGTTAAGTGTCTGACTCTTGATTTCAGTCCAGATTATGATCTCAGAGTCATGAGATCAAGCCCCAAGTCGGACTCCACACCCAGCAAGGAGTCTGCTTGAGATTCTTTCCCTCTCCATCTGCCCTTCCCCTTGCTTGTGCTCTCTAAAATAAATACACAGATCTTTAAAAAAAAAAAACATTCAAAGGATAAGACTTTCAAAATACAAAAGTAGGAGCTAAGGTATGGGTATATAATGACACTATGATACTAATATGGCATTAATTATACTTACCATATGTAGGAGAGTTCTGGAATGGAAAGCTTTGATTTGGTGAAGAAGTTCTTGGCCACAGAACCTGCCAAGAGAGCCACTGTTTAAATAAATCATTAATTACTTATCTAGAGCAGCTTTTTAAATTTATATGTAAATGAATTGTCATATTTTCATTCAGAATCCCTACCATATAACAATAAATGTAATATTTATTCATCAAAGCAACTATAAATCATATGGCTAAAAACAACATATGAACAGCTTTTATTTTTTTAAACTTTGTTTTATTTTTTCAGTGTTATGAACAGCTTTTAAAAGAATATATAAACTACAATTGGGCAAAAGAAACAATATCATAATACTTATTATACATATAAATTCCTTCTCGATTTTTCCAAAGATCTGCAAAAGTTTATTCAAAATTCAGAAGACAAATTTCAAAATTATTAAAGTAAAAATCTGTCAAGCACTTTTAATGAAAGGGTGAGAAAGTAATATATGATCACAGCAGAAAACAGAGCAAAAAGAAAATTGACACCATTCATCTTATCACACAAGACAAAACAGACATCTTAGTAAAGAGTCGGGTGAAATATAAGATCCCTTGGTGGCTCTTTGAGAAACTTATCCAGGAACCTCTTGCTACTTTCTTTTTCCATCACAAATTTACCAATATCAACTGAAATCAGGTAATCATTCCATTTTACATGTTATATAACTCCAAGTCCCAACTGCACTTAAAATGTTAGACCAATCCTTAACGAGATTGAAATTTTTATGGTTTCAGCTCTAAGACCAATTTCAAAATTCAAAGTCCTTGATTCTAACATGAAGAACAGTCAAATAAAGCCTCAAGCTCTAAACTAATTAAGTTGAAAGTCTTTCCCTGGCAATCACAAGTCTTCTAGCTGGCTTAAAACAAGGTATTATAATGCACCCTAAAGTAGATCTATTTTCCTTTGATAGATTTTTAAGAATCAAAAGCAAAGTGCCCTATTAACCAATGAGCTTTCTCTGAAAAGCATCCTGAGAAATAATGCTGTCACAGGACTACTGGCCATCAGTGCGGCCCCCTTGTCAAACATTTACCAGAAATGTCTTAAGAGCCTATCTGTCAGCTATTTTATAGATATAAAGACATTCATCCCTTAACTCATTCTTCTTTTTCCCCCTTGATATCCTTTCTTCAAATCACACTAGGCCTAAACCCAAGCCAGAGACCCAGCCTGGCCTTCAGACAGTAAAGAGGGACTGTTCTGCCATGGTGTCCGAAAGAGATTAGGTAGGGCCCATCCGGAAGCCAACAACTAACAAGTTCAATTGTGCCCTGGCTGTCACCTGCCAGAGAAGGGAGCTGATGAGAAAGCCCAAGTGCTCCCTCCATTGGTGCTGACAGATGTTGAATCAATGAGAAGAATCCTCCCCCCCACCCCCCGCCCCCGGCCCTAATCCCAGACAACCTAGAAACCCCAAGCCAGCCTCCTTTCCTTGTTCTCTCCAGCTGTTTTCAGACCTGCTGGGAAGCTTTATATGGGGCAAAAGCGGGAGAGATGAGGCTTTAAAAAGTTGTCAGCAATCAACCATCAAAATGTAGATTCAGACTTTTTATTACAAGGAATGTCTTAGCCCAGTAAAAAACAGCTATACATAGCATTGATAAATCAGTGATAAATGTTAACATGATGAATAGATAAAAATCTTAAAAATAAAGACCAATAACACTATACAAAAACAGGTAGAGCTATGACAGTTCACAGAAATAGATGCACCCACACACCCCCTTTTTTTAAAGTAATCTATCCCCAACATGAGGCTCAAACTCACGACCCCAAGATCAAGAGTCGCATGCTCTTATCGCCTAAGCCAGCCAGATGCCCAACTGACTCTTAATCATATTGAAAAAAAAAAAACACCTCAACCTTCTTCATAAAAGATCCACAAAATAGAACCATGCAAAGACATGATTTCTTGCCTATCAAGTGGGAGAAAAATACAAAAGTCAGTGAACATGTAGTGATAGTAAGACTTTGGGAAAACGGGCATCTTCTACAACGCCGCTGAAATGACAGCCCGGCACAAGCCCCACAGAAGGAGTGTCTTGTAGTGTCTAGCAAAATCATATTATCCAAAGATACACTGACAAAAATATAAAAAGACAGGTAGAGGGCTATTCACAACAAAAATATGTGTAAGAGCAAAAGACTAAAAAGAATCCCAAAAGCGGATTAGCTAAATAAATGACTGCACGTCACACAATCTAGTAGTACACAACCATAAAAGCGAATGGGAAACACCGCTCCATGCAATATGGAGTAATCACCAGGACATAATGTTAATCGGAACAAGCAAGTGGAGAGAAGTAGAAATAGTATGCTACCATTTATCTCACGGAAGATGGGAGATAAGAATATACACACACACATAAACATATTCACACACAGAAAAATTTGCTTTTACTTTTAAAAAGAGATAAACCATAAAAAAGGGGGTAAGGAAGAAAAGGGTAGATGGGATAGAAATAGAAATAGAAGCTAGACTTTGTAAATTGTTTAGTAAATTGTTTTACAGACTCAAATTCAGAATTGTGAAAATATTTTATATATGTATAAAACTAAATTTGAAAAACCACAATCCCTAAAAATTGAAATCAAAACAATTAGCACTGACAAGAACAAAGCTGGAGAAGTCCCACTTCCTAACTTCAAAACCCACTACATTACCCAAGACGGTGTGGTATTGGCACACATGTAACACATTTTGGTCATTCCTGCAATATTTCAAACTTTTTCATTATTATTATGTTTATTACAGTGATCTGTGATCAGGGATTACAACTCACTGAAAGCTCACATGATGGTTAGCATATTTTAGCAATAAATTATTTTTTAACTAAAATATATACAGTGCTGGTGCGCCTGGGTGGCTCAGTGGGTTAAAGCCTCTGCCTTCAGCTCAGGTCATGATTCCAGGGTCCTGGGATCAAGCCCTGCATCGGGCCTTCTGCTCAGCAGGGAGCCCGTTTCCCCCCTCTCTCTCTGCCTGCCTCTCTGCCTGCTTGTGATCTCTGTCTGTCGAATAGGTAAATAGATAAATCTTTAAAAAAATATATATATATATGCACACACAGTGGTTTTACATATAATACAATTGCACACTTAACAGATTACAACATAGTGTAAATATAATTTTTATATGCACTGGGAAATCAAAATATTTGACATTCTTTATTGCAATATCTACTTTATTTGCTGTCATCTGGAACCAAATCTTCAATCTCCCCAAGTTATGTCTGTACATAAGGAACTCTTACATTCAGTATTTATTTAAAATGGCAAAGGATTTGAATAGACATTTCTCCAAAGAAGATATACAATAAGAACATGAAAGGATGTTCAATTTCATTTTTCATCTGGGAAAAGCTAATCATAACCACAAATGATACTACTTCACACTCACTAGTGAGGTAGGAGGGAAGGGAGACTCAGGAGACAAGTTGACCAAAGTAAAGCCCTTCAGGTTTGAGACTGACCCTTTACCTAAAAGTGAGCAGGTAGCAGACAGAGTCACAAGAGCCAACCATGGAAGACCACAAGACCCCACTCCCTCCAGCAGTAAAAGCCACAAAGGCCGGACATTCTTAAAATTGCTCCCTGTAGGTAATTTCACAACCCTAAGACGACGGAGAAACTACACACCCAATGTAAATGATAAACCCAAAGTTAAGGAGTAAGCCCCTCCCTATACAGTTAGCTAATTTTTAAAACTTAGAAAACTCTTTCTTAGAGGCAAAGGAGGGTCCTCTTCCTCACCTGGGAGAAGAGACCACTATTTTATCTGTGAAGTAGCTCCCTTCTCACTTCCATACTCAATAAATTTTTGTTTCTTTTTCTGAATAGCTTGCTCTTGAATTCTTTCTCACACAAAGCCAAGAACGCTCATGGCGAGGGGCCTGAGGCCCTCACTCTTGGGACTTCAGCCCATCTGGCATCACTAGGATGGCTAGAAGCAAAAGACAGTAGGTGCCGGTGAGGATGTGCAGTAACCGGAACCTTCATATGCTGCTGGTGGCAATGTTAAAACGATGCCGCCGCCGTGCAAAACAGTCTGGTCCTCAAATAACTGAACACAGAGTTACCATGTGACCCAGCAATTCCCCTCCTAGGTATATATTTAAGAGAAATTAAAACATACGTCCGTACAAAAATGTGCATGCATATGTTCAGAGCAGCATTATTCTTTTTTTTTTAAAGATTTTTTATTTATTTGAGAGAGAGTGAGAGAGAGGATGAGAGTGGGGCCAGGAACAGAGGGAGAACCAGACACCCCACTGAGCAGGAAGCCCGATGTGGGGCTCCATCCCAGGACCTGGGATCATGACCTGAGCCAAAGGCAGCCACTCAAGTGACTGAGCCACCCAGGCACCCCCAAGCAGCATTATTCTTAATAGCCAAAAAGTAGAAACAACACAAATCAAGTGCCATCAACTGATGAATAAATAAAAAGTAGTATATATCTACACAATGGAAATTATTCAGCCATAAAAAAGCAATCCAGCTCTAGTACATAGTACAACCTGGATAAACCTTAAAAATATTAAGCTAAGTCAAAGAAGTCAGACACAAAAAAAGACCACACATTATATGATTTCATTTATAGGAAAAGCCTAAAATAGGCAAATCTTTAGAGAGAAAAAGTACTTTAGTCACTATGTGGTGCTGGGAGGTGGGGAGAGCAGGAATGGGGAATAATTGCTAATAAGTAGGTGGTTTGTTGCGGGGTAATGAAAGTGTTCTAAATTTAGATTGTGAATACATTCTGTAAATACACAAAAACCAATGAACTGTACACTTTACAGGGGTGAATTTTATGGTATGTTAATATCTCAGAAAAGATTTTGTTTTTAAAAGAGACATCACCTAATTGTAATAGATGAACTCCTCTTGACCTTCAACAAACTAAATTGTTTTTAAAAGGCATTTGTGAGACAATCAGGGAAATCTGAACAAAGACTTGATGATATTAAGGAAATGTGTTTCGTATTTTTTTTCACGTGTGCCAGTGAATTGCGGTTACGTTTTTAAAAGAAGTCTTTCTTATCATTTGAGATATGAACTGAAATATTTTCAAATGAAATGATCTGATAACTGCTTCAAAATCATCTGGGCTGAGAGAGGATACAGGCTGAACAAAATCACTGTGCTGTATAATAGGTACATAGGGGTTTGTTGTACTAGTCACTCTATATATATCACATTTGAAATTCTGCAAAATAAGGAAGTTAAAATAAAAACACTCCTAACAGCTACCCATTTGTATTTGTTTAATTATAAATTATACACATACATTATGAAGAAACTTACTTAAGGGGCACCTGGGTGGCTCAGTGGGTTAAGCCTCTACCTTCGACTCAGGTCATAATCCCAGGATCCTGGGATTGAGCCCCATGTGGAGAACCATATCTCCCTCTCCCTCTTACCCCCGCCCAGCTCGTGCTCGCTCTCTCTCTCTCTCAAATAAATAAATAAAATCTTTTAAAAAAATTTAAAAGTCACTGAAGCAGTGGGTAAGGTTAGTAAATGGTCAATCTGGGTTTCTGCTTATCTTAAATCCTGTTGTCAACACTGAATTTGTTGTTTCTACGATATTTGCCTTTCAATAAAACTACTACCACCAATCAGAAAAATGATGTCTGAATTTATACAAGTATATTTCAATTATACACCTTATTTCTCAAGAGAAAATTAGTCCATATTCAATATGTCAGGTTACAATTATTGAGGAAATATTGTTATTCTTCAAAATTGAAGTACAAAAAGAAAGTTTTATGAATTTTTCTTCCAGACTCTGCTATTTCACTGTTTAGTCTTCAGCCCAGGAAAATGTAGGCATACAGGAATTAAATCAGTTTGTCTCAGTTTGAATTTTGCATGAGAACTCAACAGGAATACGTATTTAGAATACAACCCAGAAGAACAGACATGTGGACATAAAACTGCTGGTCTATTTTCCTCCGTATTTTAATTTCTCTCAGAAAATCCAGAGCAGAAGGACTTGAGCCAAAGAAAACGAGCACGAATTTGGACTTCTAAAGTATACATAACGTTAAGAGACTTGTGACACGAAATCTTTAGAAGGCTACACTACATCTTCGCTCAAATATGAATAAGCAATTAAAGAGGTCATCCTGGTGCCACAGTCTACCATCTCAAGAACTGCTCCGCTAATAAGGCACAGGTCTAGACCAGGCTCCCCCAAATTCCCACTTAAACCTTTGAAACTGAAACATCATTCTCCAAATGTCATTGCCAAGTATTTTTCTGCATGGTTTACAGTTGATAAGAAATTCAGTCGTAGAGGGAAAACAAATCAAAATCACAGAAGGATGTCACATTCATTTTGTGTGAACTGTTTCTCAAGATGTGTACTGTTATCGATGTGAGACAATGATCTGGGACCCATGTCTTCACCCATCAGCTTAGTTACCTGAAATGAAGGAACTCGGGTCAGGCTGAAGGGATCGGAACTGATTGATGTAGTACTCGCGCTGTTCTTCTGTTATCCTCCAGGGTTCCTCCGGGTAATTACTGCTGTTATCATGTGGTTCTCTCTCCACGGAAAAGGACTTCAAAAATAAATAAGCAAATGCTCAGAGGTAAAAATAGAAAACATCAGCAAAAGTCATCATGCATTATACTTATTTTTTTTCCTTAAGAGAATACATTTAAACACCTTGTAACTAGGACGTAATTAGAACATAAACTTATGCAGGGCAGACATCATGCTTCGTAAATTTTGGGATACCTCAAAGTTGTTAACAGGACTGAGCATGAAATACTGAACACTTGGTGAGTGAAGAAAGTTTTTCCAATGTGCTGAAGAAAGAGTAAAAAGGATGATCATTGGGGCACCTGGGTGGCTCAGTGGGTTAAAGCCTCTGCCTTCGGCTCAGATCATGATCCCAGGGTTCTGGGATCGAGCCCCGCATCGGGCTCTCTGCTCTGCAGGGAGCCTGCTTCCTCCCCTCTCTCTCTCTGCCTGCCTCTCTGCCTACTTGTGATCTCTCTCTCTGTCAAATAAATAAAATCTTTAAAAAAAAAAAAAAAGGATGATCATTCTTTTTACTTTATTTATTTATTTATTTAGAGAAAGAGCGAGTGCAGGGTGGGGAGTGATGGAGGTAGAGGGAGCAAGAGAATCTTAAGCAGGCTCCACACCCAGCATGGAGCCGGAGTCGGGGCTCAACTCACAACCCTGAGATCAGGACCTGAGTGAAATCAAGAGTCAGACGCTTAACTGGCTGAACCATCCAGGTGCCCGAAAAGGATGATCATTCTTATCTTTAAATACTGACCACATTTTTATCCTTTCAGGTTCGCTGAGTAGGCAGCAAAATAACCTAGCTTTCTTTTAAACCATTTTTTTAAAATATACAAAAGCTATAACCATGTCATCTTTTTTCTGAGGCATTTCCATTGTATAATTCTGGGAATCAAAAGTTCTGATTCCAATTCCACCTCCCCACGTCCTACTCGAGTGGCAAGTCAGGATCCCAGAACCTGTCGTTCTGCATTCGTGAACTGTGGGTAACACTTGGTAATAGAACTGGGTCTGGAGAACAACTGCTCGTGGGATCACAGCAAACCCGGCAACATAACATGGGGTGCATCAGACCTGCCACTAGGGGGCATGCAAGGCAAATGTGAGGATTTAAGGATAAGGAGAACCAGAAACAAACTTCAGGAGAAAACACTGTACTAGGCCATGAGTAAAGAAGCAAAACTGGTGATTCTGGCAGGAGGAGCCTAGGTCTTTGTTCCATTCCTCCCATCTACCCCAAGGCTAAGGTGAACACAAGGAGTGTGACCCTTTAGGACAAAAGGAGACTAGGAAAGAAAAGGAGAGATATCACTGCTAAATAACCCATCAAGTTGCCTGCTTCTGCACACACTATCAAGAAATTAATCATTAGGAGGGCATTCTACTCACTATCCCTAGAAAAGACAGCCGACCATCTCTGCACCCTTCCTCCCACCCCCCCACACCCCATTCCAGCAAGTAATTCTCAGGAACACCCAGCTCTCTCCTCTGTGACTTTCAGAGATGAAATAAGACTATAAAATGTTGAGCTGTGATACAACTTTGAGATGTCATCTTTAAAGTTTTCATACCAGGTGAGTTTCCACTAAATGTATATCAGACATTTTTAAATGCCCCAGAAGCCACTAATCATTAGTTATTATATTAAATTCATAGAATGCTTTCAAATTTACAAAGCACTACACATACCTATCTCACCTGAGCATCTCAAAACTTTTGAAAGGTAGACATAGCAGGTATTATTATCCTGTTCTCAGATGAAGAAATGAAGGCCCATACAACTTATGAGTCCATATCCTTCATTATTTGCAATCAGCATGATTGCATTATTGCAGTCAGCAAGTAATTACCCCCTCTGTTTTATCTGTTGTTCAAAAAAGTCAGCCTACTCTTTAGAAGGCCTTTTTTTAAATTGAGTTGCATCAGGGATATTGAGAACATAATGCTAAGTGAAATAAGTCCAACATAGAAAAACAAATACTGTATGATATCATTTATATGTGGAACCAAGAAAAAAATCAAACTCATAGATACAGAGAACAGATTGGTGGCTGTCAGGCATGGGGGGGGCAAAATGGGTAAAAGTGGTCAAAAGGTACAAATTTTTGGTTATCAGTAAGTCCTAGAGATGTAATGCAAAGCATGGTGACTATAGTTAATGATACTGTACTTTATGTTTTTAAAAGTTGCTAAGAGAGTAAACCTTTTAAGTTGTCATCACAAGAAAAAAATCTGTAACTATGTATGATGATGGATGTTAACTAGTGTAGTAATCATTTTGCATTGTATACATATATCAAATAATTACATTGCACACCTAAAACTAATACAACGTTATATACCATTTTATCTCAATTTTTAGAAATAAATTAATTTTTAAAAATTGAGTTGCATCCAAGTTGTTTTCAGAAACTCCTATGGTTCTGATAATAAACAATATCAATAAAGGTCACAAGAAAAGTCACAATTCAGTCTAAGCACCCAATGGACCACACAACTTTCTGAAACACTCCCACCAAATCCCAGAGCCAAATTCAAATGTTCCACACTAGCACTTTCCGAACAAGGCCAGATGTCTGACCAGGTTGCAGGGGCAAAACCCAGGGTAGAGGGAATCAGTATGCAATGGATTGGGTTCCTGGCCAAATTATAATGTGTAGGACTCCCAGGAACACTGTCCTTCTGGTTGGCACTGAAGGAAACAGCTGGAGTAAATGTATCTAAAAAGCTGGGTATGGGCTGGACACAAGAATGGATGTTTACAACTGAACAATCAAGCAGATGGCTCACAAACCCAGCAGGACACTGGTGAAAAGCCCTGTCCCACTGCCACCCTGCAAATGAAGGCATGAAAATCTCTATGCTGGGTGTTGGCTGCTACATTCCAGGGTCTAATACAGAAGCTACCGTTCCCCTAGAATACACTACTTTCCGCCTGGAATTGGAGCTGCCATATCCGGCTGCTGTTGTTATGACAGCCCATGTTTGTTCTTTCTCCAATCCCATGACCACCTGCTCACTCTATTTCCGCTCCCACATTATCTCACTGACGACGCGCGTCAGTGGCCTCTTGGCAGGTCTCAAGGCTATTCTGACAGTATGGCTTAAAAGCCTACAGAGATGACCTATCACCTAATAAAAAACATCCACCTCCCCCATGTGGCCTTTAGGGACCTTATAATCCAACCTCTCCCCCTGCTCACTCTTAGCAGGCTGATCACCCACTTGCTGGCTCTTCATGGGTCAGATCTCTGTCTTCTTCCCAGACCATCCCTCCTCTGATCCCAGCCTGCTCAAATCCTGTTACTTGAGTCCCACTGCCCCATAGGGCTCTCCAGTGTACCTGCCAGGACCACAGCCACTGGAGAAGGCAATTCCCATCCCCCAGCTCTGATACAAAGGTGGGTTTGGCAGCCACATGTGCACCACAAGACCCACCTCACACCTGGTCTCACCAGTTGAGTCCAAGTAAGGAAGAGAGGGCACACAGTTTCTGGCCTCTGGGACCCTCTTGCAGAGAAAACTCTACCCTAGCAAGAAAAACTTCAGCCAGATGCTCATTACTGGGGCTGTGGGTAAGAAACATGAAGATCAAAAGCACAGAAAACAGACCCTGAACAGATGCAATGAGGCCACGATACAGAGTGAGGGCCCAGTGGGGCTTGAAGCCATGAAGAAGCCAGAGCCAGCCTAAGCAGAACCTGTGAGGCAGAGAAATACTAAAAAAGAATAGGGGGTGAGGATGGCTGTTGGCAGCCAGCAGATAACCAGAGAGTGAAGCAAACCCAAGGCAACTAGGGCAAGCACGAATAACTAAGAACTCCCACTCCTCAGGACCAATGGGCCACTTCTTTTCTCTCATTTCTTGGATTCCCAAGAGAACTCCAACCCCACCTCCTTTCCAAGAAGACTTAAGCTGGCAAGGAGAATTCCTGCTCCCTAAATCAAAAAGGCCTTGCAACAAAGAGGGAGAAGGCATAAGAACATTGAATAACCTGTACATAACACAGCATGGCCCTTTTACGGGCTTGCTCTAAATGTGTTAACCTACCCCCATTCTCCTTCCCAGAACTTGCTTCTCACTGCATGCTTTCAACTGATTTAATAAACAAGTAATTAGGCATCTTAAAAAATATGAATTCTTATGATTAGTATCACACATACTTGAACATTTCAAGTGCTCTTGAAATACCATCACTCAGGTTTCAACCTGGGGGACCAGAACCATATCATGTATCCCTTCACTCTGCATATAGTCCCTAGCAGGCACATCACAGATTCTAAAAAGTAGTGTGAGATCCATTTATTGGTAGGCTCTAGTAAGTTCAGATGTTTGCCTTATATTAAAAGAGGTGCAGAGAGCGCCTGGGTGGCTCAGTGGGTTGGGCCTCTGCCTTCGGCTCAGGTCATGATCTTGGGGTCCTGGGATCGAGTCCCGCATTGGGCTCTCTGCGCAGTGGGGGGCCTGCTTCCCTCTCTCTCTCTGCCTGACTCTGCCTACTTATGATCTCTGTCTGTCGAATAAATAAAGAAAAATCTTTAAAAAAATAAATAAAAAATAAAAGAGGTGCAGAAACACTACTCCGTATTGTGCTAAATGAAAGTAAACCTGTGAGTCCATTTCACATAAAGTTTCAGATCTATCAAAAGAAATCTATGTCTATCTTCCTATAGTTCATCCATGGCCTCTGATCTCTGTGGGGATTTTCTCACTCAGTACTCATTAAGTGAGTATTTCAGTGTCAGGTGAGGGCATACAGAAGGAGTAGATCATATTCCACACATTCTTAGGCTGAAATAGTCTAAAAGAAAGCTCATCACAAGAAGCAAAATGATTTGAACTTTGCTGCATAAATAGTGACCCACTCATTCATTCATTCATTCAACAGACACTTACTGAACACCAAGAATATCCCAGGTACCAGTGACTCAGCTATACTGATGGGTAAACTGATTCTTTTTCCCAGGAAACCTAGGGTCTCATGAGAGAGAAAGACAAACGGGCAATCCCAAAATAATGAAGCA